AGGCTCTGAGCTGTCTGCACAGTGCCCGATGTGGGGCTCGAACTCGCGAACTGCGAGATCATGACCTGAGCTGAAGTCGGACGCTCAACCGACTGAGCCATCCAGGTGCCCCAGTTAAGTTTAGTTTTTTATTTTGAGAGAGCAGGTGAGGGGCAGAGAGAGGGAGAAACAGAATCCCAAGCTGTCTCTGTGCTGTCAGTGAGGAGCCCTACGCCGGACTTGAACTCACAAGTCGGATACTTAACCAACCGAGCCACCCAGGTGCACCTTGAATGGTCTTTAGTCTGAGGAACCAAACATGTTCCCACTTGTGTTTTATTAAAAGCAGTAATACTACCAATTCTGGTGAATTCTCTTGTATGATGATAGTTATGTGATAGAGAATTCTCAGATTTCATAACTATTTGTAGGTCATCGAGTTTAGTATAAAGAATATTTATTTTAGTGAAATGGTAATGCTTGGCTTCCTGTGTTTGACATTTAGGAATTACAGTTTCACTTTTTTGGGATGAAAGCATAATTTGCATTTCAAAGATTAATTTGCTTTTATTTTATAGCAAATTCCTGAGCACCTGATGGCTCATGCTAGTTCATCCTCAAATATTGGGTCCTTCCTGGAGAAAAGAGGCTATATCCCATTGCCAGAACAGGTAAAATGTCATTTTTTTTTTTCTGGTAACGAAGTTATTACTTGGCTTATATTTCTTTTGGGTTTTGATTAAATCACTTTCTTTTTTTTTGCTACCATTTATTTGTAAAAAGGCACAAGTGGTATTGAGTTAGTTTATGCAATTAAATGCTCCTTTTGAGACTGAATGAGAGAGAAATTTAGAGGTTTTATAGATGTTAAGAGAGAAAGTCATTGTTAGCAATCCATAAGAAATTATCATTAGCTGTCTGGGGTGGTTCTCTCTTGGGGAACCTTCTCTTCATAATTCATAGAGATGATTCACTTCTTAAGGCAGTGTGAATATAGGCTGCTAGATGTTTTGAGTGGAGAAGAACCCTGGAGATGAGATATACTTCTTGTAAGATGGAGCCTTAGGGAAGTCGTGTCACTTGTGCCGTCAGTTGGAAGCCAAAATTAGAAAGCTTGGGTCTCCTTTCCTGGTGAACTTTTGACGGCATTTGGCATGGCCTTGTTAAGCAGTGAAGTATTATGTGATTAGCAGAAGTCAGCATCCAGCACCATGGCTGTCCCTCTCAGCGAATGGCTCCTTGGAAACAAACCCGCCACTGGTCGGCAGGCTCCTTATATACCCAGCACCAACCTCCAGGACTGGCTTACCCAGAAGCAGACCTTGGAGAATAGTCAGGTGTGTTGCTGCTTTTATTGTTTCTGAGTAGATGCGGTAGTAGATGGGTTTAGTTTTTAACTCTTAGTGTACGTCTTTTAGTTTTTAGTCTTGAAATACTTTTATGACTTTATAGTACAACAGTGATACCTCTTCACTATGGATAGAAAGGTTAGAAAACAGAACTGTAAAGAAATACAAACCCATAACCCCAACATGCAGAGATAACGGTTTTAACATTTTTATTTGTATGCTTCCATTTTTTTTTTTTTTTTTTTTTTGTATGCGTACATATACTTAAATCTGTAAATCCTGTTTTGGCTAGCAGATTTTTTTTTTCACTAGTAGAGCATAAATATATTTCTCTTTCATTTAATTTCTTCCATAAAATCCTTAATAGTATATCTCATTGATTGGCTGTAACTTACACTCCCAATTTTTCTGGGTATAAAGTTCCTCTGAACAGCCAGGAATTAATTTATGCTCATTCTGGATTAATTCCTTAGGAGTAAAATCCTAGAAATTTAGAAATTGCATTTCTAGATTATAATTCTGCATACCCTTCAAGACTTTTGATAAGTATTGCCAGTTTGGCTTTCCAGGAAGTTGATAAGCAATTTATATTCAGAAGAGTATTTGGAATATATTGAGGGTGCTTCCTTCCCTAAAACTTCTCTAATAGTGGTAATCATTTATAAGCTTCTTTGTTTTCTTTGAATTTGATACAAAGTAACATTTTACTTTTGTTTTGAAGTTTCTTTGATTATGGAGGTTATTATTCACGTTTCTTGGCCTTTGATGACCTGCCTAATCATCGTTTGTTCATTTTTGCCTTCTTTATTCATAAAGGCATATTATGTAGAACTCCTAGCCTCTCTTCTATCAAATATGCTGTAGATGCTTTCTCATAGTTGGTATTTAGTATTTTTCAGTTTTTTAAAAGCTATAGAAAAATAAATTTACGTTCTTCAATATTTCAATATCCCAACAGAGAAATCCTTTGTGTCTTGACCTTACATACTTAAATTTGGAAACACTGGGCAGTGTAATAAATTTGCGTGTAGAACTCTTATATGCAGTCATAATGTACTGGTGAACTAATACTGTGTACTTTTTATGTAGACTTCTGCCAGAGCCTGCAATTTCTTCAGTAATGTCTGGGGCAACCTGAAGGGCTTAGAAAACTGGCTCCACAAGAGTCAGCAACAAGAGGTCCCTGAAAAACCAACTTACCAAAAGTGTAATAGCCGTTCTACTACCAGTTCTTACTCCACTGAAATTGAAAAGGTTGGAGATCTGGAGCTTCTTGATCAAGATGAGATGGATCTTTCTGACTGGCTGGTGACTCCTCAGGAATCCCAGAAGCTGGAGAAGCCTGGCAAAGGCAGCTGTGAAGCCAGTGAGAAGTTTAAGCTCCTGTTTCAGGTGTTCCAGGAGCCCTATAGTGTGAGTGAGTGGCTTCTCAAGCCCGATTCCTGCACCAATTGTCGGGGCAACCAGCCCAAAGGTGTGGAGATTGAAAACCTGGGCAATCTGAAGTGCCTGAATGACCACTTAGAGGCTAAGAAACCCTTGTCCACTCCCAGCGTGATTACTGAGGATTGGCTTGTCCAGAACCATCAGGAGCCATATAAAGTAGAGGAGGTGTGCAGAGCCAATGAGCCCTGTACGAGCTTTGCGGAGTGTGTGTGTGATGAAAACTGTGAGAAGGAAGCTCTGTGTAAGTGGCTTCTGAAGAAAGAAGGGAAAGATAAAAATGGTGTGCCTGTGGAACCAAATCCTGAGCCTGACAAGTGTATAGATTCCCTGAGTGTGTGGCTCTGTCCTTCCAGAAAAGAGGCAACAGAACAAGCTAAGACATCAAAGGCAGTGGCTCCTTCTAGTATTGCTAATTCCTTCCAAGTCATAAGGAGCAGTCCCCTGTCAGAGTGGCTTATCACACCTTCCTGCAAAGAAGGATGTCCCAAGGAAGTGCCTATTACTGAGGACAGAGCTGGCAAACAAAAGCTTGTGAACCCCGTGGCCACAGCTGACTGGGTTTTGCCAGGAAACAAGATGGGAAACCTCAGCCAGTTATCCTCAGGGGAAGACAAGTGGCTACTTCGAAAGAAGGCCAAGGTGAGCACAGGCATCAGAATAACACCATTTTAAATGTATTTAATAGATTTATACTTTCTTAATTAATCCCAAACCTTGCAAACGGGCCAGATCCTTAAATATGGTAGTGTTATTTGGCCTCAGTATTAACTGTGATGCCATGTTAGAACAGAATGGAAGATTTGTGATAATTATTCAGACTGAGATTTTTACATATTTTCCAGGTCCCCAGTCACCATCCTGCAGGAAAGGGAAAAAAAAAAAAAAA